TTGAGTTTTCTTGAAAGCTTAGCACGTTTTCACCGGAATCGAAGGAGATTGCCTCGGAAACGGCGTCAGCAGTCGACAGCTGGTCAAGAAGAATCCACCGTCGTATTCTGGTGGAACCGACTTTCGAATCTCTTCACCCAACACTTACACTCGAAATGGAAGTAAGCAGTGAAATGAGTCGAAGATCCCATAATGCCACTCGTCATTAATTGACCTTACCTCTCAAAAAATCTTCATATGGTAGCTGGAATGTAGTTTTCACTAACACCTCAAACTAACTACGAAGTCGGATTGTGTTTGTGAAGGGGTCACGAAGCAGATGTGACTTTACTGCAAGCCAGGCTTCTCCAGTTTTACATTCACGCATTCAACCTTTCAAAAGGTGTTAACAAAGTGCATAGTAACACATGTAGTGGAAAATACCGGTTTGTATTATCATCAACAATCCCACTATAAACATGATAATCCTTCAATGCATACCTACTCTGTCCGACCCATTGGCCGGTGTAAAAATTTGTTCTGGGTTCGAGTCCCGTTTGGAGGCTGATGAGGTCTTGATGAATTGGCAACTACAGTCTAGCTTAGATGAAAAGGCCTTTTGCGGGACAAGACTAAGCAAAGTTCACTGGCAGCCTGAGGCCTTTGGCTTATTTCGTTGTGGGTGATACAGCTACGCTCCTCATCCACATCGTGCTGCATCCTGGCTCATCTTTAATGACTTTTTCTGACTTAGTTTATTTTGCACAAACTATGAGTAGCTTCGCAACGTACTCAAAGAGTCTATGAACAGACTTGAAGATAAATAGAGTTGCGTGAGGACGCGCTTTGGGCTTAGATTTAATAGGGAAGATATGAAGACTAGAATGTTGCGACCTGATTGGTCCCAGTCTTCATTTGATCCAGTTACTAGGTCTCTTTCTAAGCATGATCAAGCTTAAGTGATTGGTGATGAGTACAGGGTTTCACCAACTATGACGTGGTCATTGTTTTGAGAGGGACCCTAGGGACCAGCCAGAAATCTGAGCTTGTCCACCACTTTCGTTGTACTACACACTGGCTACATGCTTATGGTAGGCATTTGTTGCATAAACGGAAATTGTGTTACAATCAAGATGCCCAATGTTTCAGAATAAAAGAAAAAACAGGGCATATTAATGATAATTGAGCCGTTTCCACCAGATAGCACATACTATTAGGTCATTCTCTTTCATTTTTCAGCTTTTATTCCTTCTTCGACGACATGGAATTGGGTCACCAAGGCTCCCTTCCAAACGTACCAATCTCCAACTCCTATCAGGTATGCATTTTACTGTAGTCAGCGATGGTCAGCTTCACATTTCAGGCATTATCTGCGACGAATATGGGCCGAAGAGTAATGCAAACCATGGAAACTCGAGCCCTGTCCTCTCGACAGGCGAACAGTCAACGAGCGCAAACAACCATACACTCGACATTACAGATGCTTGCGCAGCCACCTTCAGGGCCATGATCCATCGACAAGCTACAACATAATAACAACAATTATATGAGATTTATTCACCATATTTCGTTATCACGTGGCCACATTGCCACGAGTGCGTTTGGGTCCCAGCGTGGATGTGAATTTCAAGGAAGACTAAGTTTTTTTTCCATATCACATTCTTTGGTGGGATTGCCGATGAAGCAAGCGCATATTTGCTATAGCAATCGACAAAATTACATAATTTTCGTATATATAAATAGAGTTTTGAGACTGCCAGCAAATCAATGGCACTAGTGGCAATGTGGCCGAGTGGTTAAGGTGTCATGCTCCCATTCTACATTGTCACGGTTCGACTCCCGCTCGAGGTGTTGATAAGACCGATGCGAGGTCGAAACTACAATCCACTGGTGCCTGGATGAGAACAACTTTTGGTAAGGCAAGGCTATGTGAAATTGAATGGAAACGTCAGCTCTACTCATATGATTGTGGGAAAATTCTACTACCAG